GGCTAATAATTTATTTAAGGTTAAAGGTTCTATGGAAGCTTTAGCCTGTATCCATGTTAAATTGTGGGAATAGCACTCTTTCTTGCTAAAAAAAAACAGAGAGCTACTGGTAATTATTGAGCTTTTACTAAATGCTAGGAACTGTTCTAAGCACTTTATAAATATTAACTCACTTAATCTTCATACCCATTCTACAAGGTAGAGTACTATTACCATTCTCATTTTACAGCTGGGGAAATGGAGAAATCTGCAGACTGGCAGCAGTCAGAAGCATTTCCCAGCTTCTCATCAGCCTGTTCTCATGGTTGATGAACAACCTATACAGCCATCTTTCTTAAATATATCATTTAGCAAAATGACTTAGATATCATCAATTCCTTAGTTTAGTGAAGGCTAAACACTACAGACTGAAGAAAGGTTGATCTCACCTACTATATAGCACAGGGAACTATGTTCAGTATCTTGTCATAAAAACCTATAATGCAAAAGGATCTGAAAAAGAATGTGTGTGTGTGTGTGTGTGTGTATGAAACACTTTGCTGTACACCTGAAACTAACACAACATTGTAAATCAACTATACTTCAATTTAAAAAAAAAGGTTAATCTCTACCAAACTGATGTGCAGAATTCCATGCAAAAAAATTCATTGAAGCTGGTAGTTTTCTTACATTGGTCAGAAATTTTTGCATCAAATTTAGATTTTGCTTCAGAGTTGTCACTGCCTTTATGTTTCTTTGCATAGTATTTCTATAGGGTAAATGTTATGTGCAAACTTAAGAGACATTAGGATGTTAAAGCTGAAGGTTTTAACTGATGCCATTCATTCAATGCCATTATTATACAGAAGATAAAACTGAACCCCCAGAGAAGGGTCAGTAACTATGTGTTTACATAGCTCACTAATCAGTTGCAGAACCTGAATCTAAGCCTGATTCATGACATCATGATGCTTTAATTCCGTACTGTTGAAACAAAATGCCAAATTATATGGCTAATTCTGATAGAAATTTGCAATCTTCTCTGATTTCTGAAATCTTTGATATTTTACAGTCAAATTAATTCAGAATTCTCTAGACCTTCGTGTTTTCCATCTGAAATGTAATGTCTTTTCGGATTTTGAGTCTCTCATGACTGTACTTGCTTCCTGCAAGAAACTTGAAGAAATTAAATTTTCTGGACCATTTTTTAATGCCCTCCCATTTGGTAAGAGATATAATTGTAAAATTTTGGCTTAAGATACTTCTATGAACACAGAGTCATTTTAAGCACTTTTTAAAAACAGCCAAATTTTAAATATGAAATTGATGTCAAAGAACAAAAGCTATTACAATAGATACCTGATCTTAAATATTCAAATAAGGTAGTATATTTGTTTCTGGAAGTTTAAACATTTCTAGTTATCAGAATTGTTCCCTGAGCAAAGATCTGTTTTATCTACTTGTCATACTAATAAATTCAATATGAATTATTATATTAATTTCTATCACTTTTAAAATACTCTTTAAACACATTACTTGTTGGTATAAGAACTGTAGCTGACATAACTAAATTTTTATTTTCCCTTTTATAGTCACTGTACTGCCAAATTTTATTTCTCTGAAGATATTAAATCTTCAGCACCAAGAATTTTCTGATAAGGAAACGGCTGAAATTTTTGGTATGTTTACAGAACAGTGCCTTTTACTCACTCTTTATTCTCTTTCCCTACAAAATTCTTCTATTTTGCATGATATCGCAAATTATAATATGTATTACCTGCCCTTGCTCATTAGAAGGGACAGTGCTGCTCAACTTTTACCCTTCAAATGCGTTGATCGCACTTGATGTCATTCAAAACGATGTTCTCAGTGACTCATTTCTTAGAATACATATCTGTTATAGCACTATGCAATTTCATTGCCAGCTACCATTCCAAATATGTTAAATACCTATTGTTTCAAATGTTTCTACGATATAGGTAAAACTATTTTTAAGGTTACGAAAACTCAAAAATTAAGAGTTTATGTGAACAAAAATGATTTTGAATCCAACAGCATCCAGTCTAGCGATGGAAAAGAGCTCCGAGGAGCTGTACAAAATGAAGGACTTTTATAGGCAGTGGGGAGCAGTGACAAGGAAGTTATACTAGGCAAAGATGCGAGCTGTTATTGCAAGGTTACCTTCCTTTAGAGGATGGCAGGGCTATCAGGCAGACTGCCTAACTAGTGCTGATCAGGCAATTCCTGATGGACTAGTTTAAGATTCCATTTCTGGGAGACCCAAAACTATAATTACATCATGGTTTCGTGACATGGAGCTTATCTTGTTTTTAACACAGGAAAATAAAAGGGGAGTCAGTGGAGACAGGCAGTGTTGAGTAGTAGTGTTTTTCAAACTTGAACATGCTCAAGGACCACCTGGATCTCCTCTTTCCCTCTTTTGGAGGCAGCTGTGTGGGTAGAGGAGGGGCATGAGGGCTGAGGCGACAGAGGCAGGATTGGGGGCCAAGGATGGTGGCTAGCATGTACAACAGGTTGATTACGCCAAGTAGTACAATGAATATAATGAGCTGGAGAAGGAGTTTATAAATACTGAAAGCAGAGGCTAGAACCTGAGGTATTAGAACTGGAAATACTGGTGTGGACTTGTGGTTTTTAACCTATATACATAGATAATGGGGATATCTGTATTGATCTATTTATATCCCACCACACACACACATATATACATATTTCTCAACTCAGTCCCCTGAGAGACTATAAAGAATCCTAGTAGCAATGAGCACACCAACTCCTCAGATCTTGACTTCTAAATACTAGCCTCCCTAAAGGGAACCGGGGTGCTTGGAGAAATGGCTGATAAAATAACTGGGACAAGAAAAGGAAAAGATAAGCCTGGAACATTGTTTTATGCTAGGAAGTGTTCAAAATAGTTGCAAGTGTGAGGCCCCAGAAGTACATAACTTTCTAGGGATCGAGTGATCCATAATGTATCATGCTAAGGAGCAATCAGAGTGAAAAGGAAAGTGATGATGACCAGTGGATGGTGAGGCTTTAGTGCTAGGAGGCAGAGGTAGAAGACACTGAGGATGACAGCAGGATGGTAAGAAAGGGGGCTGAAGGCACTGAGGGGCTAGAAGAGTAACCTGGAAGCCAGTAGAAGCTTCAGTCTAAGAGGAAATGGAGACAAGATAGGCACTCTGGTCTTGAGTGTAGGAGAGAGTGGTTGGGGAAGGGTGGAGGAATGGTTGTCTAGAGGCAGCAATGAAGGTGTAGGCCGACCCCTTTCTTCAGCCATGGGAGAGGAAGAGGAATAGCCTCTATGCTAGCCGGATGGGGCCTCCTGGAATGTGCACGAATTTGAATATTACCATTGTTTGGGAACACGGTACAGAAAATAACTTCTTTGTCTCTCCTGATAGCCTATACTTTAGGTTCTTTTAATAACCTGGAAGAATTGCTGCTTCCTTCTGGGGATGGTATTCATCAAGTGGCCATACTAATCATCCAGCAGTGTCAGCATCTTCAACATCTCCGAGTTTTCTCATTTTTCAACACTTTGGATGACGACAGCGTGATAGAAATTGGTGAGCTACCCTCACTTAAACTGTTTCAGATCACATGAAAGCCAGTGGTATTACTCAAGCTTTCTGCTGCAAAGTATCTTCAGAAACATTTGCCCCTCTAAAAATGTTCAACCCACTTCATTTCTACCATCATATCGTTCCCTCTAATTTTCTGTGTTTAGGTTCATTTTGGTCAGATCTCAAGTAAACGATAGCCTCCCATTTGAGACTATTCAAGCTCTCAAGTCTATGCTCTTGACACCTAGTGTTTCAGACACCTGGTCACAAACCTTCCATGTACTCCTTTTTATAGGTTTTTTTTTGATTGAAGATTAATACACATTCAGAAAAGTACAAAATCCTACGTGTACAGCTCAACGAATTTTCAAGTGAATGTACTTGAAAACTGTTATTCATACTTGGGTAGCAATATAGATTATAACATAGAGTATTACATCCCAGAAGCCTCCTCTCTGTCCCTTCTGATACTGCGTTCCCCTCCTTCCCAAAGGTGACCATTATACTACTTTCTTTTACCATAGATTCGTTTTACCTGTTTTAAAATTCACTTCATGAATCCTACACAGTGTGTACTCTTGTGTCTGACTCTTTGGGCTCAACATTATACTTGTGATATTAATGTACATTGATGCATGTGACTGATTTTCATTGTTATATATTATCCCGTTGTATGACTGTACATAGCCCAACTTATTTATCCATTCAACTGGCTATCTGAGTTGTTTACAATAGTTGCCTACTGTGAACAATGCTGCTATGAACATTCTGATACATGACCTTTGATGTGTATATATACAGAGATATTTCTAGGGATAGGCTTTGAGTCATATGGTATATATTTAGTTTTCCATAGTCGTACCGACTTACAGTCCTACCGATAGTTGTTTCACCTCACTGTGCAGTTTCTATTGGTATACATTTACGTGTTATCATTGGCAAGTTTGGGTAAGTTACATTTTTCTAAGAATTTTAATTTTCTAAAATTGCTCATAATATTTATTTATAATCATTAAAAATATATGATCTGGGATGATATTCACCTTTTTATTTCTGATATTAATTTATACATTCTCTATTTTTTAACCTGATTGATCATTTTTAAGTTTTTTGTCTACATATGCTTTTCTTTAATAGTTCTCCTCTCACCTCTATTATTCCTTTCTGCTTTCTTTGGGTATAATGTGTTTTGTCCAGTTTTCTTGAGATGGATAGTTATAGCACTAACTTTGGCTTTAGCTCCCTCTCAAATTTTAGTGTCATATTTTCATTCTTCAGTTCAGAATACTAATTTCAGTTGTCATTTTTTTCGTGCCACACCAGTTTTTTACAAATGTGTTGCTTAATTTCTAGATATTTGGGGATTGTCTAATAACCTTTTTGTTCCTATTTCTGAGCTTAATTTCCCTGTTATCATAGAATATTCATTGTATGATTTCAATTTTGAAATTTGTCGAGACTTGTATTATGGGCCAGCATAATACAAAATACATACTAAAGTGGTTAATTTTAGTAAATGTTCCATTTTCTCTTGGAAAAAAAATGAGCTTTCCACAGTTAATATTAAGTGTGAAAAGTACTCAAATCCTTGTTTTTAGTTTTGTTTGCTTATTCTATCAGTAACTGGAAAAGGTATATTAAAATCACCCATCATGATCGTGGATGTCTTCTTTTCCTTCTAGTTCTGTTTTTGCTTGATGTATTTTAAACCTAGGTACATAGAAAGTTGTTAAATCTTCTTGGCAGATCAACCCTCTTCATCTCTAGTAATGCTTCTTACCTTGAAGTCAGTTACTTCATCATATATTAATATAGCTACCCCAGCATTCTTTGGGTAATTGTGTCTCACGTCTTTTTCCTTCCTTTTACTTTTAATCTTTCTGTATCTATCTTTATATTTAAGGTATGGCTCTTGTTATGTCTGTATAACTGGATGTCTACAATTAGGTTTTTTAAAATGTAATTTCTTAATCTTTTACTTCTCATTGGAGTATTAATCCATTTAATATACTTACTATATCTGAATTTATATATATGCTTTATTTGCTATTTAAAAAATTTGTCCCATAAGATATATTCATTTTTTCTTTTTTTTCTTCATTTATTATTCCATTTCCCCCATCTTCTGGCTTATTATACATTCCTACCCTCTTAGTGGTATCATATATATTAAAATTTACATCCCTGAGTTATTAGACGCTAATATAATTTAGTATTTTTACCATGTCATGAGCAAGGTAGGAACTCCAGGACATCTAATTCTATTTACCTCCCTCAAATCTTCTGCATGGTTGTTGTCATTTATTTTAATTCTGCATAAATGGAAACTCCATGAAACATTACTGTTTTAAACATTATTTAGAGTTTCCATATGTTTACTGTCTCTATTGCTCCTTTGTGTCTCCTGGATTTCTAGTCATCTGTCAGGGACCATATTCTTTCTGCCTGAAGAACTTCTTTAGTACTTCCTTCCATGTGGCTGGGCTGGTAACTAATTTCCTCACTTCTTGTTTATCTGGAATGGCAATACACTCATAGTAAAAGTGGTTTCAGTGCTCTAGAGCTTAGCTTTAGTTCTCTGGTTTCTGCTTTTTCCTTTGGTTTTGGCTATTTATTTATTCTTTATTAACTTGTCAGGTCTTTGGAATTTTTAAGGAGCTGTTTCTTTAATTGGGCATTTTCTACTTTCAGTGATGGTGAGAGAGGAGGTTGGTTCAAATAACCTAGTCTAAGCACTGGAAAAGAAGTCCATATGATTCCACTTACGTAAATAGTTTTGCTTTTACAGCCAAGGGAGCAGTCGATGGAGGTTTCCAGAAACTTGAGAAGCTAGATCTTTCAATTAATCACAAGATTACAGAAGAAGGATATAGAAACTTCTTTCGAGCACTGGACAACCTGCCAAACTTGCGAGAGCTAACTATTAACAGGCATTTCACAGAATGTATAAGAGCTCAGGCCAGAACAGTCAAGTCTTTGAGTCAGTGTGTGCTACGACTGCCAAGCCTCACCAGACTTAACATGTTAAGTTGGCTCCTGGATGCAGAAGACATCACACTGCTTACTGCCATGAAAGAAAGGCATCCTCAATCTAAACACTTAACCTTTTTCTGGAAATGGGTACTGCCATTCTTGCCAGTCATTCAGAAACAGAATTAGCTAAAAAATGATATATCGGGAATTTTCATCAATAATTCTAAAAGCCTAATTATCCAAAAACTATTAAATATTACACACAAAAGAATATAATGTTAAGGCATGTAATAAAAAAAAAAACAAACATCCTGCTTACCCATTACTGAGTTTAGAAATAGATATTGCCAGTAACTCTGAAGTTCCTAAGTGATCCTCCCCAATTAAAGATGAGTCCTTCAATCAAGTTTACACATCTAACTCTTCATAACCCTGGGAAAACATCAGGCTCGCTACGATAAACAGGAACACAAAGCCACAGGATGGGGCTGGGAAGAAGTGCACCAATCTACCTTAAAGTCTTAATACAAAAGAATATTCAAGTTATTACGAAATGGCTAACTTAAGAACTAAATCAGTTTTACACAAAGGTGAAACAACAGGTATTAATCTTGTATATCTTGTAGGGTCTGTTTTGCATATTTAATTAACTTTGGTATAGTAGGGTTTATTTGTACCTTCCCTTTATCTACTGCCAATGTGAAGAAATAAGATTTAGGGAAAATGCCTGTATTCTGGAAGCTTTTGATTCAATGTTTATTGATTAAGCAAAAAATGCAGTTTAGAATTGAGCTTTATTGGAAATGAGCTAAATCTGTTTTCAAGAATATTGAGTATCAATGCTTTTTTAGATAACATGTTTGAGAGTTCAACATATGCATTTAAAATGGTGTTAGAATTTTCTTATGACTCCACTCTGCTCAGGGAGAACATACTGTCAGTGACGTCATAGGATTCAAGGTATTACATTTGATGTGGATGTTTACATCTTTGTGTCCAGAATTTCACTCCTACCAAGTAGCAGAGTTTTCTGAATGGCTAGGAGGCCACTGCAAATTCATGATGCTAGTATAAGTTGGAAAACTTATTTTGCCTTTTTATTTTTACAATGAAACATAGGGACAGTGTATATGTTATGATTCTATTTGTTTAAATATACATATATATATATATATATATATATTCATGTTTCTAGATGCATTAAGAATTTCTGGAAGAATATACAAAATGGTAATTAACAGTGGATAACTAGTCTAAGTTGTTAAACAGTGGGACTGGAAGGCATTCTTTTTACTTTTTGTACTGCTTTGTTTTACAAGTACCTGTTTTATTTAAATAATAAAGTATAAAACTAGTTTAGCATTATTACAACATTAATAATTGCTCTGGAGGATGAGATTATTAGAAGGTGAGATGAGTTACCTTCTTGCTGGTCTGATTCTATATCTAATTCTTTTGTAATCAGAAAGGTTTTAAGCATTGTATTAGTCTGATCAGGAGAGACACCACATAGTAATTTGGGGGAAGTTTACTATAAAAAGTTATTAACTGTGACAGGAGACTGTAGTATGAAATGGAGAACTCGAAGCAGGTATAGGGAACAGCCTACTGGCTCTTCACCCTAGGCTGAGACAGAGCACCAAAAAAAGAAACCCAGGACTGAGATCCAGACCTTGGTGGAGAAGGTACAGCCATGGACAACAGAGAGGGTGGCGAGTTACAGCCCAAGACAGTGTAAGCTTGGGACACTTTGCTTAGAAAGTTTTTTGGGGGTGTCACAGGAAACCATTCATGTGGGGGTGCTGCTGGCCACTGGGTACTGCTGAAGCCAGGCACTGCACAAGGCTGCGGAAACCATGTGCCAGAGAGGCACACTGGACTCAGGAAAAGAAGTCTCTTTCCCATCCAGTGTCTCACCAGTAACCTCTACTGAGAAAGCTTTACACTGAGCCTGCTGACAGGGGAGAGGCATTTACAGGGTCCAGATGCATTACTGCAGGACAGGCAGTAACCTGATAAATGGTACAAGTATTACTTATTAAATTGTTCAGACCTAAACAAAAAAGAACCTAGTTAAATTTCTTAAGATTAACATACTATTAGATGCATGTTCATACCTTCATAGAAAAATTCTTTAATACATGAGAAAATGGTGATGACAGACTCCACAGAGAGGATCAAGATAGCTAGCGGACAGGGGCAGGAGGTTTACATTTTTTTACCTGCATATAATTACCTGAATTCTATATCACTTGCATATGTTATTAAAAATGATACTTTAAAAACACTAACACGACTCTGGGCAAATTAATTGTCCAGAGCATCTGCTAAGGGCTTCCAGTATAAAGCAGGGGGCAGCAAAGTGTAGCTGCAGCCTGTACGGCCTGTGAGTTAAGAATGTCTTTACATTTTTAGAGGCCTATGAAGCTAATGTGCCCTGGCCCTTCACAGAGAATGAGTTATTTCCACAAAAAAGTATTTTTGGATCATAAGGTCACCATGCCCTTTATTCCAGTATACATCAATTTCCACAGAACTCCTAGGTCATCCCTCATTGCCCGGACACTTACTTACCCTTATGTTTCTAAACTTCTCCCTTTCTTATACGTATTCTAATCCTCTCCAGCTCCTTAAATCCTTCACCAGTGCTCACACAAGTAATGTCTCCTATATCCTCCATCTTTTCTTAACATTCCCTGCATTTTCTTGTTCTAATTGCGTATTTTTCAAAACTTTTTTAAACCATGACCCACAGTAAGAACTCTTATATAAAATTTACACACATACAGTATACTACACACACAACTTAAACAAGCTTCACCAAAACTTCAAAGTTATATCTAATAGGATTTTTACTAATAACCCAAATGTAACAAAAATTCAGAAATACAAAGTTCCTTGCAAGAGTTGTTTTTATGTGCTGTCTTCAACTGTTACATTCTCTCCCACCTCCTGTTTCACCAAAACAGCTCTTATGAGGGTCACCAATGATCTCCACCTTGCTAAATTCAGTGAATACTTCTCAGTCCTCATCCTACGTGACTCATTAGCAGCATCTGACCTATCGGCCCCTTTGATACCGCCCATTACTCCTCAAAACGCTTTCTTCATTTGGCTTCCAGGGCATCCCTTTGGGATTCCTTACTCATTGAGAGCTGTCTCTTTTACTGCTTCTCCTCATACCTCATCTCTAAACATGGGGAATATCCCAGAGTTCTCCTCTAACTTCCCTATTTAAATGCACTTCCTGGGCTGTCTCATCCTATTTGAATGGCTTTAAATTCCAGGTCTATGCTAACTTCTAAATTTTCATCTTTATCCCAGATCTCTCCTTTGAACTTATTTTTCATATCCAAGTCCTATTAATGGGCATTTCAGATTACACATGTCCAAACCCAACTCCTATCCTTCCTTTCCACAGAAGTACCCTTGAGGCAGACTTCTCCATCTCATTATTTTTTCACTTGCTCAGGCCAAAAACCTTGGGAGTCAGTCTGGATTACTTTCTTTCTATTGGCAAATCCTGAGCTCCAGCTGCAAAATACACTCAGATCCAAGCTCACTGGTCCTAAGTAAGTCAGCCTGCTTTCTCTCTTGAAACTTATGGTGTATTTTCAACATAGCTGTCAGAAGGCTCTTTCTATATATCTGATCATGCTACACCTTTGGTTCAAAATCTTCCAATGGATTCCTAGCTCCAAGTAAATGGTGAAGACCTTGCAATGGCCTACATATGACCTGACCCTTGGCTACCTCTCTTACCTCCTTTCCTTCAGTCTTTCCTCCTTGCTCACTTCCACTCCAAGCCAAGCTGATTTGCTATTCCCTTCACGCCTTTCCCTGGGAGGTTCCCTCTACTTATGTGAATGTCTCTCATTTCCTTTGAATCTCTGCTCAAATGTCACCTCAATGAGGAGTTCCCTGACCATTTTTTAAAAAGCATCCCTGCTTCCAGTCCCACTCTGCCTAACCTCCTTTCCTGTTTTCACTTTTCTCTCTGACATGTATCACTAGCTGCCACCTTATAAATTATACTTGTTTACTAGTTAGTTCTTAACCATTTTAAGCAAGAACTTTCCTCTGTTATGTTCATTACTGTCTCCCAAGCACCTAGAAGAGTGTCCAACACAAAGTTAAATATTTGCTGAAATGAATGACTTTCAGGAACCTACAACTACTCTTCAACTGTATTAGGTATTAAGGGGGGTAACATTCAAAAATCTTACAAGGCAAGTAAGCTACGTTCATAACTAAATTTATCCCAGCACATACTTAGGCAATTAATATACACTAGATGTATAAAATATTAGCTGATTGTCATGAAAAAAGATAAAATTCCACTTACCCTGTACAAAAAAGCTTTAGCCATAGAACATCCCATTCTGCAAAGCTTACTTACCAGGCACTTGAATATTCATTCACTTATTCAGCAAATACTGGGCAGCTACTAATATGTTAGGCACATTTAGTTTGTCCAAGCAAAAACCTCTGAAAGAAAGCACTTAACATATTAACATATTCTCCTATGGCTAAATGGACTAGGGAGAATCTCTGGTACATGGACATTAATCCTTAGACTAAACAGTGTGACTTTTACCTCTCCATAGAATTTGAACTGAGAGACATATAGTCAAAGGGATGGCAGATGGAACTGCAAGGTAGTGTGCATGACAAGGATGTGGAGAAAGCTAGAAAAGAGGTAGACAGATAAGAAAAGGTGAAGGAGGAGACTGACAGTGTAACTTCCAAGCAACAGGACACAGCCTTGGTTCCTGATTGGCCCAGTCCAGTCCCATGACTATGACATTCAGCTTCAGCAAGGCTTTGTTCCCTAATTTTGAATTATCAGCAACATTGTTTTACAAGTGCTTGCATCTTTCAATACTATCCTTTACCAAATAAGCTTGAGGAGTGCTTTTCTACATCATTAGATAGACTCCAACTTAACCATGTATGTTCTGCACCCCCACCCCAAAAAATCAGATGGTCATGCTTAAAAAAAAAAAAAGATTGATCATTTATTTTTAAAGTATTAATAAAAAGCTTAACATATTTACTAAGAAAGTTACAATATACAAATGTGCTTAATTGTGATTTTGACAGAATAAATTTTCTGCACTATATGTGACCTTGAGTTTCTTTCAATCACTCACATTTCCATTGTTCAATTATTCAAATGAATTATTCTCTCCAAATACCTAACTGGTTATTTAGGCATGAGACACATCCAACAAGGGGAAATGTAGATGACATGCACCTATCCAAGTATTCATGAAGAAAATGATGAAACTTTTGTTCACATCGACCAGAGCACATCAAAATACATTCTCCTTGGGAGACAGCTGCACCTGAATTTGAAAGATAAAAAGTCTAAATACAATGATGACATTTAAACACCTATTTTCTTATAAAGTCATAAAGAGAGAAAACGGAAAGCAATACACTCATCATGGTAAATAAAACTAGAATAAAAATATGCTAATATAAAGACTAAATATAATACCAGTTTCAATCTTTATGGGACAGTTAAACAATTAGACAAATTAATTGCAAAATTCGTTTGGAGAAGTAAATGAGCAAGAACAGTTAAAAAAATTCTTCAGGAGCACTGGTATTTGATCTGTCCCAATACAATTTAAAACATTAAAAACAATGATCAAAATCATATGTAAAAAAAATAATTAGAACAATACAAACAACATCCTATAACTACAATAAAACTAGAAATTAAACCTAACTACATGGAAATTAAACATTTATTAGACATATCTAGAGTTGAAAACAATTTAAAAATTTGGAATACCTAGAAAATAAGAATTCTACAGAATACAACCAAAGTACTGTTGAGAGGAAAATTTATGGTCCTGAAGTATCTATTTTAATGCACAACAGATAAGAAGGAATTTAAAAAGCTTATAAGGAAAGCAGAAAGTGGAAATTAATTCCTACTATATTATCTCAGTCCAATGGACTCAATTTCAGTTTGAGTTTCTTATTTCAGCAGTTCTAACTATTTGTAAGGATTCATGACTCAGTCTTAGAGGTCTGATGAACAAAAAGAAAATTTACTGTTTAAAAAAACCAAAACTCCTATCTTAACAATTATACTAACTCTACTGGACTCTTTTATAAATCCAAAATGCAGAATCTTAGTGATTTTATTATCCCTTATATTGAAATATTTAGTTATTCTTCATCCTAGGATGAACTCATTGTGGTAGCCAGCCTTCAAGATGGTCTCCAATGATTCCTGCCCTTGTGTAGACCCCTCCAGTTGGATGTGGCCTGGACTTACTTCAAAAGAATAGAAAAAGGTGGAGGTGATGGTGTGTGATTCAGAGACTAAATTATGAAAGTGTGTGTGTGGTGCTGCTCACTTTCTACTGGATCACACACTCTGGAGAAGCCAACTGTCATGTCATAGAACTCTCAGGCTACTTCTGGAAAGGCCAAGGTAGCAAGAGAGCCTCTTGACAACAACCACGTTAGTGAGCTTGGAAGCAGACCCTCCAGCCCCAGTAGAACCCTGAGATGACCATCACTTGAGGCTGGCAGCTTGCTTCGAAGCCTTATGAGAACAACCCAGCTCAGCTGCTCCTGGATTCCTGACCCACAGAAACTAGAGATAATAAATTTTGCTGTTTTAAGGTGCTAAATTTTAAGGCAGTCTGTTATATAGCAACAGATAATATACTCACACCAATGACCTCTAGCTATGTTAAAAAAAAAAACTAAAATAAAATAAGAACACGGAAGTACAGAATCACCTAAAAGGATGATGGAATAAATCATCAGTAGTGAACTAATGTATCACTATTACACCTTCCTTCAGTCTTCTTATTCTGTTGCCCAAAGTATTGGATTATCTTTCAAGAAATTTTAATGGAAGACTGGAAACAACATCCTTGTAGTCTTTTTTCCTTTTTTTTTTAAGTTTTCCTTGAACACAATTCAGATTTTTTCATTTTCTGTCCATAAAGGCAAAGAGAACAAAATCTACAGAGAAAGTCATTCCATAATTATTAAAGCAATTAGATGAATGTAAAGGGAACAGATGGTAACATTTAGACCAGAGGCTACAAAACTATGGCCTAAAATATTTACAATCTAACCTTTTAAGAAAAAATTTTTGATCCTTATTCTAGACCAATAATAGTGAGACTGTTCACATAAGCAAAGTCTCAGATGATGAATCTTCAGATGACATATTCTACTTAGGTGAATTTTCTCAAACTCAAGATCTGATATATTTCTGAGGACAAAGGAAATACGGTAATATTCAGTTAGTCCTTCAACAGAAAGGATTTCATAGTATAATATAATAATATTTTGTGATAAAAGCCTGAACCATTCCATTTTGCAAAAAGGACATGTGACAGTGTCCTTTCATCTTTTTTAATGCCTGTGCACCAAAATTTACTTGATAACAGTGTGTGAACAGATACAGAAGACAGATGTGTATAGAAAGTAACTGGAAGGTAACAGATAATGCAGAAACAATAAGATCATCCTAACTGGTACTATTAAAAACGCAATGTTATGCTTTTAGGCAACAAAGAGGATAGCTATCATTTGTTTATGCAATAAACAGAAGCTTTCAAAAGTATTATGTTTTGATAAAGCAAGTGCATAAAGAATCAAAGTAATGATAAGCTAGAACATACTAGCGATGCATTTGAAATTTAGAATCAATATTTTGAAGATAAATGTATTCCAAGTCTGTACATAATAGCCAGTGAACAGTTAGCTGCATTCAAAGAATGTTATCCAATTTGGAGATATATATATAAACATTCAAAACTGGAAAAATACAGAATAAAAATTTGGGTTTGCAGTATTTTAATTCTCACTACAATTGCTAACAAAGTTATTTTCACTATCTCTTTATTTTGTAAACTGTTTGTAAAATACCTTGAAGAGAAATACATAGAATCAATTCTCATTATTCATGGCAGTTATGTTTTTAAAAGTTGCCACAAACACTGAGCCACTGCTCTTAGAAGAAATACAAGGCTAGGTTCCTGCAAGCCTCTGGTCACATTATCAACTGATTGATATATAACCTTGTTTTATGTGCATTTCTGTTCAAAGACACATTATTTCATATATATTGTTGATTGATTAACACTGAACTCATAGCCAACAGCACTGCAACTTATGCGTGAACATATCTAACACGTATATTCTCTCTGTTAGGCACATCACAGCCTTCTTATACTTGGGAATACTAGATATCACTTCAGCACAATGCTTGGGCATTATCTTAATGGGTGAAATCAAAAGGCACAAAATTATGAAAACTGTAACACTAAATAGATTGCGAAAAGGACATTTGTTTATTGTTTATAGTATGAGAGCTGAAACAAGAAAACAGAGCATTGCTCAATCTGGGAATGCCTATCAGGTGACTCAAATTTTTTCAACATTCTGCATGTGTCCATGAATGATGGTGAAAGCTCCACAAATACTGATTTAGGGATTATAGATAAATTTTAATAAGCTGGCAAATCTGCAAATACAGAATCTGTGAATAATGAAGATAAACTGTAGATAAAATTTTATAAGCAAAAGTTTAAGAGCAAGTAAACACAAATATCTAAAATGATAATGAGAAAATTACCATATAGATACTGAAAAAAATTAAAACAGTAGAAGAATTAGAAGAAAAGCAAAAAAAAGGGGGATGATTCTGAGGATATGAAAATTAAGCAGTATGCCTAAATGAAAAGCAAATATTTCTGTCAACATGACAACAACCACTATTACCATAAGCAAGGTCAAAAGAAATGATAAACCAAGGAAAAAGTATTTGCAACTCTCATCACAAAGAACTCTTACAAATCAAAAGGGAAAAACATACAGCCCACTTGACAGGTGGGAAAAAGTGATGTTCATAAAGTTTTCAGAAAACATACATAGCCCTTAAACACATGAAGAGGTGCTGAACTTCACAATAAGATAAATAAAAAATTATAAATACAATGATAACCATTTTCAACTATTAGAGTGACAAAGATTCAAAGGTCTGAGAAATTATTGGCTAGACTGGGAAACAGGAACTCTTTAACAACGTCAGTGGAAGTACAAATTAATGTAATCTCTACTGAGAGCAATTTGGCAAAAATCTATTAAAGTTAAAAACGTGTATCTTCTTCAGTCCAGGAGTTCTAATTCTAGAATCTAATTCTAGATTCTAATTCAATCGAATTAGATAATCCTAAAGATGTATTCATAAATCTACAAAAAGAATTATGTAAAAGAACGCTAACTACGGTATTAAATAGTAAACAATTGGAAGCAACCTAAACGTCCATCCACAAGAGCTCACTTAATTAAGTATGGCACACATTTAAATAATGAGGGAAAAGTACTTACCTATTAAAGAACACTGAATAACCTACAGAAATGAAAATTTTTTAAAGTTTAAAGGAGTAAGATGATAGATACATCTTACCAGGTTTATTTTAATTACATATTGTTATTGTTAGTAAATGTACAGAGCACAAACAGAAAAAATACTAAAGGGTATACTGTGAAGTCTCCCTCACAACCCTTTGTCTTATAGTCCTTCTTCACAGGTAACATGAGTATCACCCTGAAAGGAGAATCAGTGCACATACACACGTATGTAAATGTGTATTTACACAAATGGCAGGTAGCATAATACACACAGCTCTGCATCTTACTTTTTTCATTTAAATGTATTTTCCCATCAGATTGCTATATGTAACAAGCAGCACTGTCATTTAAAAAAAATCCACAAAAAAGAATTAAAAGAATAAACCGAGGGGGAGGGTATAGCTCAGTGGTAAAGTGCATGCTTAGCATGCATGAGGTCCTAGGTTCAATCCCTAGTACCACCTTTAAAAACAAATAAACCTAATTACCCTCCATACCAAAATAAAATAATAATAAATAAATAAAATATTTTTAAAAAGAATTTAATTTAAAAAAGAATAAACTGAATGATGTTCAAAAATGGATTCAAATTATTTTAGAGCTTTTATTTTATAAACATGAATAACAATGGAGAAATAATTTTAAAATAAACTTTAACAAGCAGATACTCTAACAATTAGATAAATGTAAAGAACGAGGGTATTATTAACTACTTACTCTCTGGGGAAGCAATATGACAACGTTTGATGATCTATTTAGATTCTGAGAGCCAATATATGAAACTAATCAACAATTCACAAAAATAACTCTATGCAACTATGTTTAACAAAACAGCCCAAAATAGATGTATTACTGTCATGTAGAAATATGTACATCAACAACTCCAAATTTGACATGTTAATCTTATGTACTTGAGAGATGGAGAATATATCATCATTGTTTAGCACATTATGTTCTAATCTTCACAACTAATTAATCTTTCAGAAATCATCCAACAAATGAAAACCAAAATGGAAAAAGTGATGCAATGAATTGTGTCAAACAACCAAGTATTCAAGAAGAAAATGATGAGATGTTTGTTTAAAAGTAGGAGGAATAGCTGGTAGTATACTTGCTTTCCTGTGATAAGTTATAAATCTGGGCACAATTTACGATACAACTGTTTCCAGGCACTGGGCAACAGACAGCACAGGACCAAGATCCTTGGAAAAGGCAGATACTTAAGGTGAGCTTCGCATTACACCCTCTTGGCTGGACACAGTTTCCAAACTGCAGTATGGAAGGCAGAGCCTGAGCAGAGAGTGCTGTTCTTCCTGGGTGGGTGGAAGAAACAGACACTGGACTCTGGGCCCTGGGATAAGGCAGCTGGAATTTGAAGAGGTAAGGTCTAGAGAGGAGGGATTTGACGAGGAGCCCCAGAAATCTGTGTAGGATTTCTACTTAGGTCCTTGCCCAAATCCTAAATTATGCACGTGTAGCACAAGACTCCTTGGAGCCTGGAAGAAACAGCTGCTGGGAGGCTGAGAGCTGGAGAGAGAGTTCTGGAGTCATATAGAGTTCCACCATTTGCTATATGGTCCAAGGCAAGTCATTTCACCTCGGTGAGCCTGCTTTCTCATCTGCAAAATGAGAATAACAACAGTATCTAACTTGAGTGGTATAAAGATTAAATGAAATAACTATGTCTAGGACACTCAGTAATCACTCAAAAAATATGGCTATTATTATATAAAGGGAAGAAAATTTTCGTGTCATTAGGATTCCATTACATGGAGTCCTAAAATAAGTAAAACTACTCTTTGCTCACAGAAATCAAGGATGGTGACTGCCAGGATAGGTAATGTGAATGACTAGAAAGGGGTACAAAGTGTGGTGAATGACTAGAAAGGGGTACAAAGAAATCTGCTGGATTAAGGGAAATGTTCTACATCTTGATGTAGTAACAATGTAACTTCTCAAAACTGATCAAACTCTTCACTTATACAGAAATTATACCTCAAAAAAATACCAGGGGAAAAAACGAGGGCCGTGTAAAAAATGTTCATGAATCCTCTTGAAAGGCCACACTTCATACATAAAAATGGCACAACGCGCCAAGTATTTAGTGAAATAACTGAATACTGAATCTCTTCTGCTGACTACTGTATATAAACATGATTTCCGGAGAAGCAGGAGTTGCTCTGGTTAAACTTTTAGAATGTGATTTCTGAATTGAATTCACTGTTTTTTCATTCACCAAGAACTTCAAACAACACATAACTTAAACCATTAATCCTGTAGTTTATTTCTGTTAATGGCAACCATACAGAAAGCTAAACTTACAACATGACTGAGATAAAGTCATCTCTGGCTGATCCCTTAGTGAAGGCACTCTTCAAATATGGCACCTCACCTTCTGTTTGCCTCTCTTCTGAATGCAGGTACAGATGATGGAACTTTCCATCTAGGATTCCTCACAACCACAAGGACAATTACTACAGTGAAAGCCAGAAAACAAGATCTGTTTTGACTTTATTACTAAGGTTAGTCTAGACATTTAATGTGTTGATTTTGCAGTACTTGTCTGTACTGAAGGGGGAAGAGGCTTCATTATTCAATATTTAAGTTAAGGAAAACAGTGTCTAAAAATTACCCTATGTCAAACACCACTACAAGTAACTCAACTTTCAAACCATTCACCTAATGTAATATTTTTTATGAAGAAAAGTCTTCTAGCAAGACATACAACTGAGGCCTAACCTTTCATGATGGGTGAAAGATTTGATCTGAAAACAACTCTGAAATCTCTCTTCTATTTACCGTTTTCTCTCTTCTCTGACATTCCCTCCAGTCTATGCTCTAAGCCTATCTTAGAGGTCAAGAGACTGTGCCAGATACTGTGGACATGATGAACAAGATGCAGTGCCTTGACTCTAACGACAGAGGAAAGCCAGGTACATAAAGAATGAAGAGAATATACTGTGAAAAGCTATGTAATAGAAATAAGCAGAGAACAGATTCAAAGAAGGGAACCTACATGGATGGGGGTGGGTAAGAAGGCTGAGTGGCATTAGAAACAGTGATATGACATTTGGGCTACCTTAGGCCTTGAAACACACTGCCCTAATGTTTCCAGCTTATACATTCTCTGCCTGGAACAGCAACCCTGCTTACTTTTCTTTTCACCTTTTTAGACTTAGCTAAATAACCTAGCTGAAGAACTTCAGTTGAATAAAAATGACTTTAATCATGTTAGCTATCTTGATTGTGGTGGTGATTTCTTTGGTGTATAGATCTATCAAAACTCATCAAACTGTTCATCTGAAATACATGTAATTTACTATACAGGAATCATACCGTAATGGAGATTTTTTTTTAAAAAGGAAAAAAAAAAGAAAAAAAAGACTTTAAGCAAAGAATGAAATACAGGTAATTATGTTTTTAAATATGATGATTTATATAATTTTAAAAATATCCCTCCCAAGAATGCACTGATTTTGAAAATCAAAAAGATGCTTTTCGAAATTTGCTTTTCAAAGCAACATGGAAACATATACCAAGAATCATAATAGTCACAACACAACGTTACCCTAAGGCTAGAACAGAATCAAGTACCACATATAAAAAGGTATTTACTAATGTTACTGAGAATGCCGAAAGCTATTGAACTAAAGGAAAAGTGGTATAACATACATGAAAACAATCTGACAGAACAAAGAAAAATTTTAAAATGTGATATTAAGTGGGGATGCATGCAACACGCAAGCACAAAATGCTGAAACATCAAAATATAGATGAATATGAACCAAAAGTGTAATAAAATATGTGAAAAGAGAATACAATAGACACTTAGCTTTTACTAATTTAGTTTAAAAATGCTGAACATTTTTCTTATATGCTTTTCATACACACAGAACATAGAAAAAAAGTACAATGAGCATCCATATGAACACCACTTAGATTCAATAATAGCCATGTGCTTCACACACATATATATATGCATTTTGCTAAATCATGAAAAAAATACATTAGAGACACCATAACATTTCACTTCTAAATACTTTCGCATGCAAATTTAGAAGTCATTTTGTAGTGTCATTTAATTTACCGCTCTAACCCCAGTTATTTCCAGTAAATTGGAAAGTAGATCTTAAAGGTTTGTTTACATTCCAGTTCAACTTTTTTGAACGGAACACTTCACAGGTAACACAGTGTATTTCCTACTGCATCACAAATCAAAAAGCAAGTCTGGCTGTCTGACTACAGTGATGCAAAGTTTCATCTCTGATTCTAAGGATCTATTCTTTATTGTAAAGGTATGTTTTCCTTTCCACACTATCAAACAAAAAGTACTTGCTGAGATGATACTTTGACATCATGAGAATTCTAGAAAGGATGTAGATCAACATATCAAACAGATTTGGCATCAAAATGTTTTTAATATTATTTTATATTAACTTTTCTACTTTTCAATACTTCAATTTTTAAATATGTTTTCCACAAATATAAAATGTATGCAAAAGTAAGATTTACTTTTATAATGATGGCAAACTTACTCCTTAATTGAAATGTGAGCACCTTCCTTCTTTTTGATTTTGTCTGAAACCCTGCAAGGAAAATAAAGGAATTTAAAAGAACTGAATACACATTTTATACAGAGGTGAACAAATATTTTGTTTCAATTAAGATATTTCACTAATTCTCTTCAACAAAATACCAGAAAATAAGTTTACAACCTTCAAATGTGCTTTAAAAGTGATCCCAAAGTAAAAAATATGCTGTGATTAAGAAATTTTTTCTTTTACTGTCTGATGCTCCTAAGCCAAATTACACCTTATTTCTGTCAAATAAAATATACAATGCCATACTTATTTATTAAAATAAAACCATTAAAGACCAGTATTCACTAGACAAAAATATTTTTAAACTAAAAAAAAAAATCAATCCTCAAATATTTACTGTTTTTCCTGGTCAGACCTCACCCAAATGTCCTATTCCTCTCTTCTGGCCTCAATGTCTTTTATCTTTCCCTACATATATACAAGCTTTCCACTTCACTACTAATCTTCAGAGGTCACAGATGTATTAAAAGTGATTTGTTACTAATAAGCACCAAAGTTAGAACCTGTGCTGTTATTTCAGTAAACACCACTCTTATTCATTTGCATTCTGCTTGGAGTTCTAGAAAAAGAAAAAGGTATAGGTTAAGAGCTGGACCCAAATCCTATCTGGCTGCTCTTAACGGGAACTGGTTACTATTGGAAAAGCTGTCAATCATGTATGCTTCTGTGGAACAATGGTTAAGAATTGCTAGCTGAAGGCAACGGTGTCTAAAACACACATAAGCTTTTGAAAAATGTGACAATAAGAAGTGCTTTCTTTTTAATGGTAAAAATTTCAGAGAGACAAAAATGCAAGAGCTAGGAAATGGCAATTTCTTTACACTTCTGAATGTGAACATAGGTTTGTATTTTAATTTATGCAGATCTACAAATAATACTGCTAAAAGTAAAAATCATTTCTTTGGAACAAGTCAGTAATAGGTTAACCCTGAATTTGTGGCAAATATATTGGACAAGGCTGGTTTCCCAAGAACTGCTGCTTGAACACACAAAAGAAACAGGAACACCTGCATTTTGTTGGTCAGGACCAGAGTTCAAAGTTTGTTGAAAATCTGCTAGGTTTTAGTAACAGAACAATCAAGTTTGTGAAATATGAATGTTTATGAATACAATTAACCAACTCTAATTTTCATCCATGTCACCCTTAAAATCAAATATATTCTAACATGTTAGCAGATTAGTATTTTTTAACTGTTGCTAGAACTATCAAAAAGAAGAAAGCAATAAGGGGCATTACTGTTTAAGGCTGTGGTAAAGCAGACATTTTCCAGTTGCACTGGCAGCAATACACACATGAAGAATTGTGGAAAACTAGTCAACAGTATCAAAAGCTATTAAAATGTTTGTATTTTTGGACCTAATAACTGTATTTCCAGATATCATAAGGAAATAATCTGCAAGAAGCTTTATATATAAAAATGGTTATCTAATTATCAAAGGAAAAGCTTGCTGATGTTCAACATTTAGCAAATGAAGAACTGATTCTGAACCAGATTTACTATGAACCAGGCATTACTCCAGAAGCTAGAGATCCAAGGGTTACAACACAGACAAGGTCCCTGCTCTCATGGAACTTACATTCTACTGGAAGGAGACAGATATAAACAGGTAAGGAAAATCATACGAGGAATGATAAATGCCACAAAAAGAATCTAAGTGGAGTGACATAATAGAGAATAATGGCAGATTACTTCTATCTTAAACAGGGAAGGCGAAATTTCAGTTGAGATCTGAATGACAAGCCAGGCAAGTGAAATATAGGGTAACAACATTCCAGACTAAAGAATAATGCATGTATAGGCCCAGAAGAAGGTATAAACCTGGATATGAGGAAGAAAAGAGGCCAGTGTGGCAGGAGTGCAGTGAGTAAGGAAGAGTGTGGAATATGATGCGGATAAAGAACTTGACAAGATAAACATCACATGATACTTTGCAAATCACAGTAGAGTTTTGGATTTTAACCTAAATGTGACTGGAAGCTATTGGAGGGTCTTAAAGGGAAAGAATGGATTTGGCAGGGTGGGAAGTGAGATTTCATAATCAGAAAGAACAGTTGGGATCTACTACAGCAAGGTAAGAGATAATGATGTCTTACCCAGAATATATAAAGAGCTATTACAACTCATCAACAAAAAGACAAACAACCCAATTAAAAAATTATGCAAAGGGTGTGAATAGACATTTCTCCAAAAAAGATACATAAACGGCCAACAATCACACGAAAAGATGCTCAACATCATTTAGTCATTAGGGAAATACAAATCAAAGTCACAATAAAGTATCACTTTGCACACACTAGGATAGCTAAAATCAAAGAAGGAGACAACAGTAAGCGTTGGTGAGGATGTGGAGAAATAGGGACCCTCAAACATTGCTGATGTATATGTAAAATGGTGCAGTCACTTTAGAAAATAGTATGGTGGTTCCACTAGAGCAAACTTTTGAGCCAGCAATTCTAATCCCAGATGTAGACCGAAGAAAATGGAAAATATATGTCCATACAAAATTTTATACAAACGTTTACAACAGAATTACTCATTATAGCCAAAAAGAGGAAACAACCCAAATGTCCATCAACTGATGAATGGACAAACAAAATGTGGTACCCCATACAATGGAATATTATTCAGCAATTAAAAGAAATGAAGTATTAATATATGCTAAAACATAGAGGAACCTTGAGAAACTTACGCTATGTGAAAGAAGCCAAGCACAAAAAGCCATTATTGTATGATTCCATTTATATGAAATATCCAGTATAGGCAATCCTTAGAAAGAGAAAGCAGATTAGTGGCCTCCATGGGCTGGGAGGAGGGGATATTACAAAGTGACTGCTACTGGGTATAGGGTTTTTTAATGGGTGATGAAAATGTTCTGGAATTAGATAATGATGGTGGTTGCACAACTCTGTGAATATAATTTAAAAACCAATGAACAGTACACTTTAAAAGGGTGATTATATATATTTCAATTTAAAAAGAGATAATATCTTAAATGGGGCAATAGCAGTGGAGAGAAAGCAAAGTGTCTTGACTCAAGATCTGTATGGAGATAGTCAACAGAACTTTCTTACAAATTGGATATAGAAAGTGAAGGTAAGTGAGGAATCAATGTCAACTCCCTGTTTGTGGTTTGAGAAACCATTGCTGCTAGTGCACCAATGTACTGCTTACTGAGATGTAAAGACTGTGGGAACAGAGGAGTGTGAGATGACACTAACAGTTTTGTTTTGGCTATATTTGGTTTGAGATCTACCTAACAGACATCCATGTGGTGAAGGGAAAACAGGCAGTTAGATAAACAAGTCTGAAATCCAGAGCTAGGTATCTGAGAACTACCAGTACTAACCTGCCATTTTAAGTCCTGGAGTAGCTGAGGTCACCTAGAGTTTATAGTTAGAGAAGAGAGGGGGCTGTGGGCTGGCCATAAGGAATTCCATTTAGATATTAGGAAGAGGTATTAGACCTTAGATACTAGGACAAGCTATTAAAGGAGTCTAGAAGGAGCAGCCAAGGAGGAAGATATCAGATCAGCAGATTACAAGGTGTTACTGAAGGCGGGAGAAAAAAGTGTTTCAAAAGTGCAGTCAAATATATTAAAATGTTGCTGAGAGATAAGAGAGATAAAGCAGTGTATTGACCACTGAGTTAGCAATCTGGAGGTAAAAATCACAAAGCAGGGAAGACAGAAGTCTACCTGATAGGCCTGAAGAGACAAGGTGAGGTAAGGAAACTAGAGGTAACTCTTTTAAGGAGTTTGTGAAGAGGAGGAGAAAAATCATGTGATAAATAGAGAAATCAGAAAGAATGTAGTTGAAGTAAATGGTCACCAAATTTAGCAGAATAGGTCACCAACAGACTGATAAGAAAAGCAAACTTCACCTAAATTCTTATAGTTTGTCTTTATATAAAGAAAGATGAACATAAAAACAACACATTTCTTGTGAGTGCTCATATGTACCTGAACACAGAGAAATAGATCTGATAGGCTATATAGCAGGCTAGTATCCATGGTGACTTCTGGAGAAACGTGGGAACTGGGCCTGGCTTTGATTGATCACCACCAGGATTTTTGTCTCATCTTTAATTTTTGAAACTTTCAGGTAATGTGTTTATTTATTTGTAGTTAGGAAATAGGTATTTTTAAAGGATACAAAGCAATATAAATGGTATGAGGACAACAATATAAAAAATCAGCCATGTAAGACTAAAGAGATATGACAGCAAAGTGTAACATGTGGCCCTGGATTGAATTCCAGGTCTAAAAGCCAACTTTTTCTTTTGTTGTAAAGGACACTCCTAAGACAACTGGTAAAATCTGAATGAGGCCAGTAGATTAGATCACAGTATTATATTGATTTAAATTCCTTACTTGATAATTGTATGTTCTTGCTTTTAGGAAATGCATATTGTATTTAAATGTAAAGCATCATCATACATGCAACTGATTCTAAAATTGTTTCAGGGGGAAAATAGGGATTTACATACATAGAGCGAGAGAGAAAACAAGGGACAGAAAGAGGAGAGGGAGAGAGAAGGAAAAATGAAATGAATGAGAATAAGAAACTTGAAGTGGTAGAAAGTTGACATGTGGGGAACCTGTACATGGAAACTCTTGAACTATTTTCACTTTTCTGGAAGTCTGAAATTATTTTAAAAACAGTAACAAAACACTTGTACTTTGGTTTGGTTACCTACCAAAGCCAAACCTTCACAAACTATGACTTATCAATTCCATTCGTAGGTATATACCCAGGAGAAATGAAAACATACATCCACATAAAAACTTGTACATGAACATACACAGCAGCATTACTCATTATAGCCCCAAAGTGGAAACAACTCAAATGGATAAAGTGTGGTATACACAGTGGAGTATTATTCTGCAATAAAAAATGAAGTACTGATGATACATGCTGTGACACACATATATCTAGAAAACATTATACTAAGTAAAAAAAGCCAGACACAAAAGTCCACATATAATATGATCCTATTTATTCAAAATGTCCAGAATAGGCAAGTCCATAAAGAAAGAAAGTAGTTTAGTCATTGACCAGTACTGTGAGATTGGGGAAAATGAGGGTATGTGTTTTTATTAGGGTTGAGGTAGATAATGAAATTACTGGAAAACTGATTGCTGTGATGGCTACATAACTGTAAATATAATAAAAGCCAAAACCATGACTTGCAGACTTAAAAGGGTAACTTGTATTCCATGTAGATTATATGTTAATAAAACTTAATTATTAAAAAAGATTCATAGTAACACTATTTTTAATAGCCCCAAACTGGAAACAAATCAAATGTCCAACAATGATTAAAATGAATAAATAGATTATGGTATAGGCATACAATGGAATGAAATACAGCTACAACTTCACACAACAAGGTAGATTAATTTCACAAAATACTGAGCAAAATAAGCCAGCCACAAAGGAGTATATGTGTGATTCTATCCATAAAAATCAAAAGAGAGCAAAATTAATCTATGACATTAAAAGTTAGGGAAAAGGTCACCCTGAGGAAAGGGATTGGTAATGACTAAAAGGAGATAAAAGTAGACTGTAGGATTGTGGTTTTTTTTTTTGATATTGGTGCTAGTTATACAGATGTGATCACTTTGGGAAAATTCATCAAACTGTGGACTTCTAATATAAGCACTTTCCTGCGTGCACATTTCAATAAAAAGCTTACATTAACAACAACAACCAACCAAAGCTATGAACCTATGCGTAATGTGAACCTGAAAACATCTGGGTAACAGAGTTATGGATGAATTCTGCCCCCTCTATCTTTCCCTAAGAAATTTAAAAATAAACATAAATTATGCTAATACTTTATATATACATTATTTTTCAAAATACAGTTGGCCCTCTGTGTTCATGGATTCCATATTTACAGTTTCAACCAACTACAGATCAAAAATATTAGAAAAAAGGAATTCCAGAAAGTCCCAAAAAGCAAAACTTGAATTTGCCAAACTCTGGCAACTATTTATATAGCATTTACATCCTATTACGTAGTATAAGCAATCTAAAGATAATTTAAAGTTAAGACGTTTGTAGGTTATATGCAAGTACTATGCCACTGTCTATAAGGGATTAGAGCATCCCTGAATTTTGGTACCCATGAGGGTCCTGGAACCAATCCCCTGCAGATACCAAGGAATGACTTTATTTCATAATTTTTAAAAAATATGGAGAAATTGAAGTGCAGAAGAGGGAAGCTTAGGAAGTCAAATGATTAGTCTCAAAAAAATTACAAACTATGAACTTTTACTTTCCATTATCTTTTCAGTCATTAAAAGGGGAACTTCATACAAATATACTAGGGTTACACAACAGATGAAGAGTAACTTTTAAGTAAGAATATTGGTGGAGGCACGTACAGATGATATACTTATAAAATTACACCTTCAAGTCAGTTGTTTATTTTTTCTATATATTAATTAACTAAAAATTCAAGTGCCTACAATATCATATTGTAATCTTGGCATGGCATACCAGTTTTCATTTTTTAAACTTTAAAATTTCCTACTAAATTACAATTGAACATGTCTCCAAAAGACTGACACATAAAACGACAAACTTGAAGCCTCAGTCCCTAAGATTTAGTTTAGCCATTTATCACCCCAGACTTTCCTCTGTACACAAAAATAACTTTTTTTCTTTCGTCTTCATTTTTCTTTTTTCCAAAGTATTATCCTTTCTTTTTCCATCTCCTACAACCCATTTTATTTCAAATCAAAACAGAAAGACTAATGACTGGAAAATAATTTAGAAAAAGTGTCATTAAATTAGAAAACATACACAGTCATCCCTTGATGGCCACGGGGGACTGGTTCCAGACACCCCCTCACTGAATACCAAAATTTGTGGATGCTCCAGTCCCTTATATAAAATGGCACAGTACTTGCATTTAACCTATGCACATCCTCCCATATACTTTATATCATCTCCAGATTACTTATAATATCTAATACTATGTAACTGCTATGTAAATAGTTGTCGATGCATAGCAAATTCAAGTTTTGCTTCTTTGAAACTTTCTGGAATTTTCTTCTTTGAATATCTTCAATTCACAGTTGGTTGAATCTGTGGATGCAGAACTCATGGATACAGAGAGCCAACTGAAATCAAAATAATCCAACTTAAACTGCACTACAGCTATACTTAGGGGGACAACACAAGAGTAATTTTAGCCATAGACAGACAGATGTTATTTTTTTAAACTACAGGGTACAGGCATACCTCATTTTTTTTGTGCTTTATTACACCTCACAGATACTGCTTTTTTTTTTTTACAAACTGAAGGTTTGTGGCAACCCTGTGTTGTCAGATGATAACGTTTCTGAGCAATAAAGTATTTTTAAAGTATGTACTTTTTTTTAGATATAATGCTATTACATACATAATAGAAATATAGTATAGTGTAAACATAACTTTTATATGTACTAGGAAACCAAAAAATTCATGTAACTCACTTTATTGTGATATTTACTTTACTGCAGTGGTCTGGAACCAAATCTGCAATATTTCTGAGGTATGCCTATAGTTTTCAACCCTTAGGATCTACCTAACAAACAACTTTTTGGTCACAAACAAAACAAAGTCACGAAACCACAAAGTAAGTGTCAGAAAAAATGCTGAGTGATCACTTACCATATAGTAACCAGTATGATAGCCACTCATATACCAAGAGATTAACATACTTCCCAAAGCATCAGCATCATCCAAAGAATCTGGACATATGGGAGGCGGTGGGGGAATTATCTGGAAATAGAGAAAGATATACTTTAAAGGCAACAGATAAAAATGTAAAGTCTGGAAATCCATTTTACATACAGAATACTGGATGTTAGTTGTATCTTTCCCTACATTCCATGTCATCTCCTAGTTAAAAAATTTTTTAAATCTGTCATTTGGAGAAAGCCAGCCAGGAACAACAACAAATGACCAATAAATTGAACAGACTCAAAAGACAATAGGTCACATAAAGTATTTTAAACATTTTGCTTTGATTAGACTTATTTTTCTATTTCATTATGAAGCTATTGGTAAAAGACCAAGGATAAATACTTTCATGGTTTTCCTTAAAAAACACCCACAGAGCATTCCAAGTAAAGGTTTTGGGTAGCACATCTGCACTGTCCCCCACCAACACATAGTTTGCCAAAAAATGTCTTTGTGTCTTGCCTACTGTTGATACCTAAAAGTCTCCCATTAGGTATCTGGATAGTCTACGTGACCAGAAGGTAACATCGAAGCATATCTGGAAGGGCAAAACATTAATCCTTATAGATGGTGTAATTAAATCTTTTTGGATACAAGCTACTCCCTTAGAATGAGATACAACTTCTGCCAGAAAGCATGAAAAACAGGACTCAGAGATGGGGTTAAAGAGAATTGAGTCTGTGTGGCAGAAGGTCATTAAAAACAAAAACCCAGAAGTTGAGTTTGAATTTTTACCCATTAAAATCTCACCCAAGGAATGGTGTAAAATGACATTTCCTAACCACCTATGCTCTGCTCAATTCCAAACTAGGTATGAAAGCTAGGTTTAATCTGAATTCTTTTGCACTTACTGGTGGTCCAGAAGGAAATGGAGGCAGCCAGCATGACAAGAAGGGTGGTGGCGGTGGTGGTGGTGGTGGGCCACTGAATTTTAGACCTGGCTATAAAGAATATTTCAAAGGAGGATTAATTTACCAGTTTCAATACATAAAAAGGAAAAGAGATTCAATGTCAAAAGAACCAAAATAGCAGGGAGGGTAAGAGCTCAATGGTAGAGCCTGTGCTTAGGATGCATGAGGTTCTGGTTTCTATCCCCGGTACCTCCATTAAAAAAAAGAAGAATCAAAATAATTGCCCAGCATAATATCTATACTATTCAGGGAAAACCAAAGTGAGAACGATTCTTAATTTAATCAGGTAGTATATTTAGCAACATATTTCAATCATGAAAGACTATACCTCTTACAATTTCATTAACTAAATTGTATAATCTATACGATGTCCTTTTAGTTACATGTGCAAACTTAGAGCACATATTGTAAAATCAGTAAACCTTTCACTTAACAAGAAAACTAGCCCCCTGAGACCAATGAAGCACCTTATGTATATGAATTAAGAGGTTTAATTATTCTGAAAAATGTAATATAATACAAACCTCAATAAAGCTCTCACAGAAAATACTAAGAAAAAGTTTTAATGTCATGCTTGATTTTAAAATATCATTATTATTACTGCCTGAAGAAATCACCACTATACAAAACAACTGGACAGGGACTTGGGTTCCATGATATAACCTAAAGTAAAAATCTTTTTTGCTTAAGTTGATTTGTTACTGATAACCAAAAAAATCATTAAGTGAAAACAGTATTTACATTTTGCTCCAAAAAAAATTCCAATTTTTACATACCTTACACAAGTGACATAAGAAACTATACCATAACACCCAGCTGATGATAAAATATCATTATACTTTCAAATGTCAGATTGCTGAATTATTACTCTAATATCTAATACTCCATAGAAGTCATTGAGAAAGTCTTTCACTATGAACTATTTTATATTATTATCTTAACTTCCTTTTCAAAAAATTTTCAGGTATGTATTTACAACACCTATAGAAAGCTACAAAAGTTTCATGAGAACAGCTAGCTACGAGTCATTTAATGGAGAGGATGAATGTTCCAATACTATTAACTGTTTCCTGGGAAAACCTTTCTGGGTAGAAGTTTACCTTTCCTGGTCCCAGACCTGATCCTGGCATGGGAGGTGGTGGAGGGAGAAAAGAATTCCATGGAGCAGTTTTTGACTTGATGTTATTTGGTTTATTTCCAGGAGACCTGGAGGAGTTCTCACTTTCATCTGTTGAAATTTGACTTTCATTTTCATTCTTTTAAGAGAAAGAAATAAATGTATTTTTCTTACAAAGATGTCATCAAAAATAATTTTAATGCCTCAGTGGATCAAACTGACCACTAGTTACACTGTTTAGTTTCTCATCTAGTCTCTCCTTCCAAGAATTCTATTTTTTTGTCCTTACCTCTTGAGCATTCTGTTCTGTATTATTAATTACTTCAGACGTTGGGGAAAGTATATCAGACAGATTTTGCTCCTCTCTATTTCCATATCCAGTATAAACCACAACACAGGTTTCTCTCTTATAATCAATTGAAGCAATGGTAGCTGGATAAACGCAGCCGTCTTCTGACCAAATGGCAGAACATTTGTCACCAACTTTCCACTATAAAAGAAACCAAAGATACACACATGCACACATGTACTTCTTTAAGAGAGGGTAAATTATATATACTCTTGTCTGGGTGGACTGGGGTTGGGGCTGAACGGGAGAGTCTCCAGTTAACTGTTCTGAGAGACAGAATGTTACAGTGAAAAACACTTAGAGACAAAAAAACAGAAATCTGAGTCATAATAGAAATATAACATAATTCTACCATTTATACAATCATGGGCAAGTGTCTTAATCTCCTTCAGTCTTATTTTCCTCATCTGTTAAGTGGGTATAGTACAATCTGCCTCACATATTTCTTGTGAAGAAAAGGAGGGAAAGTGTGTAAAGTGTCTAGCACTCTGATCCAGCATATAGCAACTGCTTATCAAACATCAGCTCTCTTCATTGGTAATGATAAAACTAAAGCAACTAATGAGACACCAATATGATTAGCTTCCAGGTCGACTGTTCTAAATAGCAGAAATGACTCTACCCAGAACTTCTGGCCCCCCAGTATTAATAGTTTTAGGATTTTTGAAGAAAAAAAGATACCCTTCTCAGCTTTAGAAAAGTAAAACACTGCCAATTCAGTTTAAGGCTGTCTGGTGCTCCTCCCAAATAGCACTGCCTTCCTCCCCTCCACCCTTGACAGAAAATAAACACTGTCCTGAATTTAGTATTTATTGTTTCTACCTAATTCCTTACACTTTATTAACATGCATGTTCCCAAACAATAGAAAGTTTAATAGTTGCTTTAGAAATTTTATGATTACATGTCAATGGAAGAAAATACTGTACTAATCATTTAAGTTAAAGGTATTTTATACTATTTAATAATGACAGGAACAAAAATTCTTTGCAGTTAAATCTCAATGTTTCAAAACAACCTGTTTCAAGGGAGTTGTGTTATTCTTTTTTTGGCTTTTATTCTTCTTAGCAGGTTTTCTTTTAGGTGTGCCTTTTGGTTTATCTGAAGCTTCAGAAATGTCACCATTCTTTAGCGCGTGCTATAAAACATGAATAGAAATGTACATGTTACAGAGTGATATATTAAAAAGTCACAATATAACTCAGTCACTACAAACTGGTCTCCAGGACCAACCATCTCCACCACCTTAGACAGCCTCTAATTCCTCTTTTCACCATCTCACATTGCTATAGAAACTGCTCTCGAAGGTATCAAATAACTGATTATCAGCTCTAAGGACCCTTTTAATCAGTCTCCTCACTTTCAACCTTTCCACATTAGACTCTATCATTTTTCTTCTTGATAGTTAGGGTATTTTTGTTGACATAGCAATGTAGGGCCCTAATGCTTTTATTAATTCTCTCATCAACTTTTAAACTTGGGCATTCCCAACAAGAACTGGCCATCCTTCTTTACATGCTTGTGATGACCCATTTCTATTATTTCAATTACAATCTGTATGCAAACAAACTTCCAAAGCTGTTATTCAGCTCTGACTTCTCTCCTTAGTTCAACACTTCCAATTACCAATTTCATACCTTCACATTTACCTGAAATGCAACACAACCAAAAGTAAACCACCTCTTGCCCAAATCAGTTCTGTTCCACTATGCAGTCTACTTTCCCTGAAATATCACCAACCCCATCCCCCACTGAGTTTCATTTTAACCTGCATTTTACAGAACTCTCTTGGTAACTCTGCATTAGTGTACTTCTAGTCTAAACATATGTTGAAAAGCATGTTATTGACAAATTTAGACTGCAACTTCAAGGATAACATACAAATCTGATTCATTCTTTACCTCATGCTACAGGAGTGACTATGGAAGGAAGCAGACTCCATGTTTAGTGCTCTGTATGAGTGTATGCTCTGTGCCCGGACTACTGATGGCCATGCATGGTGCTCAATAAGACTAAATACCTCAGACAGTAGGGCAAGTGATACAAGGCAACTGTACAGATTGGGGCACGAAACCAGACTTCATCCCACAAAAGAAATGTATATTCCTTGATATTCATCACCATCAGGAACATTTGACTTGAAACCTAACTCACGGTATTAAATTTGAAGAGGATTAAATTAAGGTAATGTATGTAAAGCACATGGAACAGTGCCTAGAACTTCATAAACACTCTGCAAGTATTAATTACCACACTACAGCTATTTATCATCAATATTATTTCAATAAAGGCTTGTTAAATGTTTAAAACCTCTAATTCAGACTGTCCTTTCATTAATCTGAATTAAATAACTTCTATAGTTTGATATAGTATAAACATATTAAAAACAATAAACGCTTAAAACTCTGCTTAAATTATCTTTGTTAAGGGATAAGATAGACAGGCTACCAACTTCTACAAGAAGATAACTAACTTATCTAACCTGTTATCTTTTAATCTTCAAAATTAGAACTGAATAATACGTACTTTAACACTTAACTATACATACGTTATCCATTTTTTCCTGAATAAGTAACATGAGGAAATAAGGAAAAGAATAAACATTTCATACCTTAAATGAAGCCACAGCTTTATCATAAGCTTTTATCAGTGCTGTATCATCCCAAATGTCAGAATCATCACTCTGGAAAGGGTAAAGAATAAAACCAATTCACATCTGGATGGGCTTTATCAAAAATGTGTTAGATAGTAACAAGAGCCATCTTAACCCAGACATAATGAAATTACACTAAAAATGGGTATTTTAAATCCTAAATAACACCACAAGAAGCCTACCTACTTAGCAATTACATGACATTACTCCCAAAGCTAGATATATGTAAATGCTCTAAAAGGTATGCCATGAAGTAAATACTCCACAATTTAATTTCCACCTACCAACCATAAGTGGACCTGTTCAAGGGTAACCACGTTTCAATCTTCGAAGAGTGGATAAAGGGTTTAGTTTGGCAGAATGGGAAAACATTTGGCCGTAAGCTTGACTGCATCCAGACTACAGTAATGCTATTCTGACCACAGACACTCTTGACCTTACAATGTGTCTAGATTATTCAAAGAAGAAATCTCAAAATATTTAAGAATGTAAACTGTTAATAGTGATTAATCAAGCTTAATTTTAAATCGGAGTGATATTACATAATTGACAAAAGAGTTAAAATCATTGTTACTTTTTTTAATTTAAGTTTAATTCAACTCAAAAAGAAAAATTTTGAGCACCCACTATCTACTAAACATTTATCACTGAGAGGTATATGAAATCATGTTCAAAAGAGAGATTGTCTAATCAGGGATTTAAGGCATACTGTCACACAAAAGAATAATATACAAGAAATACAATAAAACATTAAAATGTGAAGTACAAATAGAAAGTGTTTTAATGCAAAAGTGGGTAGGAGAGGCTTAGAAACAATCTTGCCACAAACCCCACACCTTGTGTGGCGATTCACAGCTGGAAGGGAACTCACAACCTGAAGCTTCTCCCTGAGGAGTGTGAAGGGCTTGCACCCCACATTGGGCACCCTGGTTTTAACACCAATACCTAAGAGATGAGGCCACAAAACATCTAACTTTGAAAGCCAAGGGGGTTCACGTCCACGAGACCCACAGGGGAACAGGAATTGAAAAATGGCTCTGAAAGGGTTCACATGCTTGGCATGGTCCACCTCAGGACCTAGTGCAGAAGCAGCTGATTGAGGGTGGCCAGATTTTCTGTCAAAGAGGCTCATTTGCTTATCTTAAAGTGTTGGCCTTCAGGGCAGGCATCGAACTTAACCCACATCCAGGAGCCTGCCAGGATACTCCCTAAGGACAGAGGATAGCAACACATCTTTATGCTATCCGCCTTACTCCAGCCGCAAGGGCCATCTTTGCACTCTCCCTCTACTGCGCTCCACAGGACTAGTGTCTCCCAGAGGAGAGCTTTTACACGCACCTAGTGTCCCAGTTTTTAATGTCTGCTGTCCTGGTTTTCACAGCTGCAACTAAAGGGAGGGGTGGGAAGGGCTTGTGTTCTTGGGTCCCATAGGACTGTAATAAACAGAGAGACAGTTCTTGGTAGGCTATCATACCTAGGGAACTGCACACAGAGCGGACTGAAACATACCCCAGTTTTTCTGCGAAAAAGGCCTGTCTGCCTGTCTAGGAACTTAGGCTTGAGAAGCAGGTTTTATCTAGGGACCTATGGAAATGCTCTCAGGGAACAAGAGGCTGGTGGATATAGTACTTGCACTCTCTCTGCCTGGCTCAAGCTCACCTGTGCTTCCCAGAAAGAAGCTTATACATTTGTCTGGCACCCCAATGTTTGTGGCTACCACCAGGGGGCACCTCTAAATTGGCTGGTTCTGGTGGACAGCAGGGCTTACATCTGCAGGTCCCACTAGACTGTAATCAAGACAGAGTTCTTGAATGGCTTCCACCCCCAGGGCACAGCAGTCGGTAGCAGACCCAGGAGTTCAGGTCTTCAATGAAGGAGGAATGCAGCCTGAGGGACAAGCTCCTCATTAGCCATACATCCAAGTATGTACTGATTGTAATCCCTTCCAGAGACTTAAGAGGGTGGGTGCTATTTTCCAACTTCACCTCTGCTGCCCTCCAGAGTGCAAGTACCTCCAGGCAGGGAGTTTTTGCATGCATCTGGTGCCCTAGTTTGTGCAGCTGCCACCCAGGAGATGCTCCTTGATTGCATGGCTCTGGTGGTCAAGGGGTTTTATGTTCCTGGGTCCTATGGAACTGTAACACCCAGAGAGACTGTTCTTAGCAGGCTACCATCCCCAGGACACTGCTCAGACAGCCGACTGAAACACATCCCCATTCTTTCTGGGAAAGAGGCCTACTTGCTTGGTCTGGAGCTTTGACTTCAGAGGCAGGCTTCATGTTTGACATACATCTAGAAGCCTATGGTAAGGGTGAGGGTATAGCTCAGTAGTAGAGTACATGCCTAGCATGCACAAGTCCTGGGTTCAATCCCCAGCACCTCCATCAATAAAATAAATAAATAAGTAAAAACTAATTACCTCCCCTTGCAAAAAAATTAATTAAAAAAAAGTAGAAGCCTATGGTGGTGGTCTTGGGGAACATGGGTTGGCACTCTGCACTCTTCCTCTGCCTCACTCCAGCTCACTGGTATCTCCCAATAAAAAACTATATACACTTCTCTGATGACCCAATTATTGCAAATGGCACCCAGGGGACACCTCCAGACTGCTTAACTCTGCTGGTCAGTGGGGCTTACACTTATGTTTCTACAAAATTGTATATATTTGCATACTTTAAAACCTGCTGCCTGAGGGTCTTCTAATCTGCCTGAATCTAGATGCTGAATTGAGATCCACCCCTTGGGACACTAACAGGTTTTTGCACACTCTCAATTACTGGGAGCCACTAAAAATTTAAACAGGCTGCTTTGACAATCACAAAGGCTTGGGAGTTCAATAAAGGTTGAACACGATTCATCTTGTACACAAAGACACTCCTTGAAGTCTGGGAGAAGTGACTGTTTTATCTAATGCATAGAAACCAACAGAGAGAGTGAAAAAGACAAAAACAAAAAGAAGAAACAGAGAAATATGTTTCAAGGGAAAGAATGAGATAAAACCTCAAAAAAAAAATTAATGGTGACAGAGATAAGTAATTTATCTGACAAAGAGTTAAAATAGTCATAAAGACACTTACCAAACTCAGAAGAGTACATGAACAGTGAGAACTTCAAGAAAAATACAAGGAAATCCAAGGAAAAAATCACAGAGTTGAAGAATACAATAACTCAACAGAAAAATACACTAGAGGAATTCAAAAACAGACTAGATGAAGCAAAGAAAGGATCAGTCAACTCAAAGACAGAGCAGTGGAATTTACCCAAACAGAGCAGCAAAAAAAAAAAAGTGAAGAAAGCTTAAAGAACTTATGGGAGAACTTCAAGCAGACCGATATTTGCATTATAGGGGTCCCAGAGGAAGAGAGAAAAGGGCAGAAAATTTATCTGAAAAATAATGGCTGAAAATTTTCCCATCCTGGGGAAGTAAACAGACATCCAAATCCAAAAAGCCCAGGGTTACAAATAAGATGAACCCAGAGAGGCCCACAGCAAGACCCATAATAATTAAAATGTCAAAAGTTAAAGACAAAGGGAGAATCTTAAAAGCAGTAAGAGAAAAACAACTTAACTACAAGGGAACCTCTATAAGACTATAAGCAGATTTTTCAGCAGAACTTTTGCAGGTCAGAGGGACTGATATATTTAAAGTGCTAAAATAAAAACAAACAAACAAAAACCTCCAACCAAGAATATCCAACCTGGCAAGGTTGTTTTTCAATTAAGGGAGAGACAGGGTTTTTCCAGACAAGCAAAAGCTAAAGGAGTTCCTCACCATTAAACCAGCCCTACAAAAAATGTTAAAGGGACTTCTTTAAGCTGAAAAATGGGGCACTGATTCGTAAAAAGAAAACAAATGAAAATATAAATCTCAAATGTATTTACTCCATGATTTAGATGTTTTCAAAGAGAAATGAAAGTGTATGTCCATACGAAGTGTCCTACACTAATACTCATGGCTATTTAATTATAACAAACTGAAAGCAACCCAAATGTTCTTGAACAAGTGAACGGATAAACAACCTGTAGTATATTCATGCAACAGGATCCTATAGCAATAAAAAGGAACAAACACAACAAAATGGATGAAACTCAAAAAACTATGATGAGTAAAAAGCCAGATAAAAAGGATTCCATGTTTATAAAATTCTAGGAGATGCAGACTAATCTACGGAGACAAAAAGTGGAGCAGCAGTTGTCTGGGGACAGAAAATGAGGAGGGATGAAAGGGAAGGATTACAAAGAGGTATAAGGAAATCCAAACCAGCCCACACATTGGGACTATGTGGAGGAGGCCTGAAACAACATGAAGAAAAGAGATGGCCTGTCAATCCCTAGCTGCATAGTCCCCAGCTATTGCAGCTCCAACTGCTATGTGGATGCAACCACATGAAAGGTCTGAAGAACTGCCCAGCAAGGCCTTTACAGATTCCTGACCCACAAAAACTAGGAGAGATAATAAAATGATTATTGTTTCAAGCCAGTAAGTTTTGAGTGTTTTGCTACAAAGCAACAGCAACCAAAATAGACCATCCGGACTGTCATTATATGTATTTCTCAGTCACCAATAGTAGCCCAGGTTTCTCAAGTTAGTCTTCATGTTCTATCTTCTTTTACCACTTCTCACTCCTGATAGTTCCGCTGTGCTCTCTAGAGTAATCAGCAACCCCTGCCCCACAATATCTTTAACCTCTTCTCTGAATATTCCCTTCATCTTCTTGCTCTAACTAAAATCTAGCTTTCCCTGAGGACATCTCTTTCCTTGTAGACATTTCAAAATGAAATGTTTTCTCCTCCATATTCCTCAAATCACTGTACCAGAGATGGGGAAGGAATCTTCCTTGCTTCTCACTTCCACTACCAGATTATTTTTCCTCCTTCCTACCTAAACACGCCTAGGTTTCAAAGTCCTGTCACCATACTCCTCTGTCCACTATCCCTCCTTATTGCAATCATCTACAGCCTCCTGGGTCACGCCTCCTCATTTCCATGAGGTTTGTTTCCTAGTCCTCTATCCACTAGTACTACTGTCATAACTTTCGGTTATTTAAAAACCCATGTAGATGATCACTCCAATACCTTGTTAGGGCTTTAAACTCTTCATTACCAATGATCTTACTTACTTATAGCACCCAATCTCAGCTACTCATTTCTATGGTCTTTACTTATTATAAACATTAACTACAACCTCTCCACAAATTCCACTGCAAGAATCCTATTCTCCAAACACCACCTTTGAGGCTCTGCAACTTACTCTTTCTAGCAGTTTGATGATGACAATCATTCCACTTCACTGGGACTGGTAAAATATTGATCCTTCCACTTTTTAAACTCACCGTCCTAATGTCCTCACTTCCTTTCTTAGCCAGCTTAAATTCCATGGTCTATCATTATGATAACTCCCTGTACCTCTCCCCGTCGCTTGATACTCACTTGGTAAAACTACAACCCTATTAATTTCAACTCTTGGTTTACTCTGTGTCTGCCCTCACACATCTGAATTTGAATTTAGCTAGAGAAAAATCCAGTCACACTATCTAGTCCCCTTTAAACTCATAACCACAAGTCTGAAGTAGGCCTTTAATGTTGCCTAGCAACATTTCTCTGGCCTGGCCCAACACTCATCCACTCTCTTAGAGGCTTCCTACCTTCTCTCTTCTCTAACCTCCAGCACCTGCCCCCTGCCCCCTACTAGCTGATGACCTTGTTGCTTTTACTGAGAGAACAGCAACAATCAAAACAAAATTTTCATAATTTCCTGCCACTATAACTGCCCATCCACACAAATCAGTACCCATATTACTGTCACTACTGGCAATATTTCTAACAAAGGCCAAATCCACCTACTCTAGAACATTGCTTCAGCAATTCTCTTCTCTCGCCTGCATCATCATTTTTTCTGTCCTTACTAGATTTTTTCTATCAGCCCACAAACATGATGAAACATCTCTCCATCTTAAAAACAAACAAAAACACAATTAAGAATCCTCTTTACCTCACTTACCTCTCCACTTACTGGCCAATTCTCTATTTTCCAGTACTTACAATAAAACTCTTTGAAATACCTACTTACAAATGTTGCCTTTTCTCCTCTGACTCTCGAACTCGCCTCAATCACATTTCACCCAAGAATGAGTTCTAATCTTCCCCCTTATAAACCTGCTCTACTTTCAGTCTTCCCTATTTCAGTAAAAGGCAACTTCATCTCTTCAGCTATTCAGAACAATCTTGGAGTTATCCTTGCCTTTCCTCTCTCAAACCGCTAATACCGAATCCATGTGCAAAACCTGTTGCCTGTGACTTCAAAATATATCTGTAATCCAAGTACTTTGCTCTCCACTAACATTTGGATCATTTCAATAGATTCCTAACTGGTTTCCCTGCTTCACTGCCCTGTCACACACCCCAACCCCAGTCAGAGAGCAGTGGACAAGCCTAGGCACCATCAAGTGACAAAAGGGCCTCGTCCCAGTCATTGGGGAGCCCAAACTGCACGAGGAAGGAGCTCGCGGCTGAGGCTCCCAAGCAAGGAAAGATACGGAAGCATGCGGACCACGGCCCCGCAGTTAGCGAACTGGCCGGGGAAGGAGCGCGGGGGCTGGGAGGGTGCGGTGGTCGGAGACCGCGCCGGCCGCGAACTCACCTGGCCTGTGCCACGCCGGAACAGCACCGAGTCCTCCGGCTCGGGAACGCCGCCGCCGCCGCCGCTGCCACCACCCATCGCCATGACGAGCCTGCTGCCTGGTGCGCAGCGTGGATTCTGTCCCTCCACGAGTGACGACTTCCGCCGCCGGGCGTCTGGGAGCGGAAGAGCATGGCGGCCTGACTGCCGGCCGCGGGGCGGGCTCCGTGAGCTGACAGGCAGCGGCCGCCTTGGTGGTTCTTCTCCGTATTCTCTCAGTTCTTTGATTTCAATTTTTCATCTGTTCGTAGAGTGGTTCGGCCAGGGTGTTTTTGTTTTAAACAATAAATTTTCTTAGAAAAAGAGTTCATTGAAGGTCGTTTAGAAAATATAGGTAAGCAAATAGTAAAAATCAGTCCGTTGTTAACCGATTGTAATATAGCTACCATTTAAAAAATTCTTTTTAAGAGTTTTATGTATTTACTTATATTTTATTTTCACAACGACCCTATGAATTAGAGGCCCATTTAAAGATGAGGAAACTGAGGCACAGAGCGTTTACAAGCTGCTTGGAATCCAGCACGCCTATAAAACTTCCCAACCTTAACTTTAAGGTTAGTATCTCTTCTCCCAAATCTTCTCTAGTAACTTTTCCAACTTAAAAACAATGGCATCAATTGTTGTATTGTTTAAAGATGTGCTTTTTTTTTAAGCCTTGTTTGTCTTTACATAGATCAAACAGGTTTTTAGTTCTTAGTAGGAGCTTACCCTTTACTTTTCCAGTATTCTTTATTAATCATTTAGGATTGCTAAATGGCTTCCATGTACCTATTACATCTTTTTTAAAAAAGGCCTAGTAGGGAAGTTTAAGGCCCTCTTTGGCTTCTATAGATATCAGAAATAGGTGTATTGTTTAAAAGCTCACTTAAGATTTTTTTTTTCAATCATAAAGATTCTCACAATGGCATATGATGCAAAAATTTAAACAGAATTTGGAACCAGGTTTTTTTTTGAGATGGAGTTTACATACCATAAAATTCACCATTTTAAAGCATGCAATTCAGTGGGTTTTAGTATAGTCAGAGAAGATTGTGCAGCTACCACCATCTAATTCCAAAACATTTTCATCACCCCTAAAAGAAACCTTGTATCCATTATAGGTTACTCCACATTCTGTCTTCCTTCCAGTTCCTCACAACCACTAGTCTACTTTGTTTCTACAGATTTACTTACTCTGGATAGTTCATACAAATGGAATCATATGTGACCTTTTGTGTCTAGCTTTTTTCACTTAGCATAGTTTTCAAGGAGGAATTAGTTTTAATGAATTTTAAATGGGAAGTTCTTTGTTGAAAAGGTATTTCTATTTATTAGGACCTCATTCCTCAACAAAAATGAACCTATGGCATTTTTGTCCTCAAAAAAAAAAAGCCCTTTTTTCCCCTGATGGTGACATCCAAATTTGAATCACTACGTGTACCTACAAATTTTATACTGCATACAAATCCGTATGATAGACAAAGCACTCAAAGCATAATGTACTGAATTTCCAAAGGAAACCATTTCATCAGATTTGAAGGCATTTATGTAAACATTAAATTTAACTTCATGAATTTGAACCAGTCTTTGTGCATATAAAGTTTTCACAACAAAAGCTTACATTCAGTGACTCCTGAAACTTGCTCATGATCACATAAGTATTCAAATGACTAGTGATCAGGTTTCCAATTAGGATAGTATATATTGGCAATATCATGTAGAATACTGAATAAACAAAAGAGAATGTCAAAACCGATTAGTTCTTTAGTATTACCTTACCTTCAAGGCCTAGGGTCAGGAGATCAGAGATGAGTCAGTGATTTGTGTACAAAAATGCTCACTAAAACTGTTACAGTAGCAGTGGAAAATTCCAAAAGATGTTTTAGAAGAATATTTGAATCACATAATGGACAAATGGTAGTATAATTCATAAATGACATAGTCATCCAGTATGTGAGGTTTGGACTCTACTGTCACATCATATACTAGAATACATTATAGATGATTTTTATAAATTTGGGATGGGGGAGATCTTAAGACAGAAACAAGAAACCACACAAGGATTGAAAACTTAAATACATTTGGGGATCAGGCAGGTAATGGAAATGAGTTAAGGAGGAATAAATAGGGGGTGGTGGGTACCATAAGTTAATTCGAGACTCTCTCCACACACACTTACCCCACCCACTCCCCACCCAAAGGCATTCAAGTACATGTTAATTTTTAGGGGGAGGAGAGATAAATTAGGAATTTGGGGCTAGCAAATACAAACTACTATATATAACATAGATGAACAACAATGTCCTATTGTATAGCACAAGGAACTATATGCAGTATCTTATAATCTATAAAGATAAAGAATATGAAAAGGAATACATAAATGTATAACTCAATCACCATGCTGTACACCAGAAACTAATACACCATTGTAAACCAACTACACTTCAATGGAAAAAAAAATTTTTTTTAACGAGTCAGGACAAGTCTGCTGGCTGTCAGTCTGCATCTTCACTTACAAAGAAACTAGACATTTGATAATGTAATTAAGAAGTCTGACAAAAGCAACATAAATAAAATGAAAGGACAAACAATAGTGATTTATGTTACACAAATTTAAAATAGCTTTGTCAAAAGTAAAAACAGCAAAATAAGCTGTTCATAGAAAAAAACACAAAGGGCGAATAAATATGAAACTATGTCTAAACTCTGGAAGCTCTGCATTTCAGCCTGCTTAGATTCATATCCTTAACCTGCCACTTAGCTGTGTGACCTTGGGGAAATTCCTTAACCAAAATCTCAATTTTTATAAAATCTTTAAAAATGGGCATAACAGTCATACCTACATATGAAGACTAAGTGAAACAAAAAGCATAAAGCAGAGAGAAAACATGGACATTTCACACACACACACAAATCCATATTTCCAATAGACATATGAAAAGATGTTCAACCTCTGTGGTCAGGGAATTGCAAATTAAAAACTAAGATACCATTTGTTACTCAGGTTGGCAAAATTATTAGAAATTAATAATATCTAATATCACGCACATGGGGATATGAAGTATTACCTGCTTGTTGGAAAAATATCTGTTTAAAATTGCAAACAAGTATGCCTTCGCCCTAAGGATCCTACCTTTAAGAATTTATTCTTACAGAAATAAAAGCACAAGTACATGGGGATAAGGATGATGTATATTACAGAACTGTTCATAATGATAGAAGCTTACAAATATCCTGAGTGTCCTATTTGAAAATAATAAAGTACTGTACATCCATACCATGGTTAGATATACATGTACCGTAGCCATGGCTATTTAAAAAAAAAAAGGATCAAGTTACAATTAAATTTCCCATTTTTGTTTAAAAAAACTCCCCTGTACTGGGTTGAATGGTGGTGTCCCAAATGGTATGTCTTCCAGACATCTGTGAATGTGACCGTATTTGGGAAAAGGGTTTTGCTGATGTAATAAGGATCTTGAGATGAGGTCATCCTAGATTAGAGTGGGCCCTAAATCCAATGACAAATGTCCTTAGAAGAGATAAGACAGGAAGAAGACAGAGAAAATGTGGCCACATAAAGACAAAGGCAGAGACAGGAGTTACACTGCCACAAGCCAAGTAGTGCCTGGAGCCTCTAAAAGATTGAAGGAGCTAGCTAGGATTTTCCCCCAGAATCTTCAGAGGAAGTATATAGTCCTGCTGACACCTGGCCTTTAGACTTCTGGTCTCTAGAACTGTGAGAGAATAAATTTCTGTTGTCGTTAAGTCACCAAGTTTGTGGCAGTTTGCTATGACAGCCCTAGGAAACTCCCTACTTCCTTAATTATATGTATATTTATACATGTTTACATTAGCATTGAGAGAAATATACAATATATTTTATATATCCTATATATGACCAAGAATTCGATTCCTAGGTATATACTTGATAGAAGTAAGTACTTACGACCACCAAAAGATATATATATATATGTATATATTTATATATATATAAAGGTTATGGCAGAATTATTCATAATAGCCTCAAACTAAGAGTGATCCGAATGTCCAAGGAAAGTAGAGCGAATAACTAAATTACGGTATATTCATATAACAGAATGCTACACAGCAATGAAAGACTGAATTACTGCTATAAGACAAAGGATTCTTATAGACAAACTGTTGAACAAATGAAGCCAAACTCACAAGAGTACGTACTGGATGGGTCCAATTGTACGAAATTCAAAAACAGGCAAAACTAGTCTATGGTGATAGTCAGATAGCAGGTATTATCTAAACTGGCCACAGAGAGCCTGTGAGGGTGCTGGAAATGTCT